ACACAATCTTACATGACACGATTTCTTTCTTTCGTTTTATTATTAAATAATACTACACCTGTACAGTAATGCTTCAAATTTAACTACAGGTACAAATAAAACTAAGATACAATATATACATTTACCTTTCCTATTTGTTCTGGTTTTTAAACTTTTTAATACATAACCGTAAGGGCAGCTACACTTATTTTTATAATAAGGAAAATTAAAGCATTGACGTAGATAAATTCTCATTCGGAATTTTTAAAAGAAGTACATTACATACATATTTACATATTTAAAGGTAATACTTTCAAATATTACTACATATATAACAAAGGTACCTATAGCAAATCATTAGCTTTTTACACCATTCATCCGTAAGTAACAATATCATCATCCGTACTATTACTACATGTTTACGCGAAGATAAACATATGAAAATGGTTGAGGCTTTAACTTTTATGTTAATAACAATAAAATATGATCACTTAAACACGTCTTAACTTCAATTTTAAAAGTTACCGAGAGATATTTAGAGAGGAACATAAGATCTAGACAAGACAAGCGTCGCGAGTAAGAAAGATACAAAATGAATCAGTTATATAAAAGGTGCGTTTTTTTCAATATTTTACTCCGATTCACACACACTCATTAAAAAAGATGTTCATGTGCCAAACGTAGTAAAAAAAATCAAATTAGATACATATAAGTACTACCTTACTGAGCAGCAACTTGGGCGGCCGTCTTCGAGCACAACATGCGACTCTCTTAAGTGCGTTTTACATAGAGCGTATAATTAGGATTTATAGGATCGTCAAGAAATATAAAGGCGTTATCCACTACTGTACGTAACGCTAACCATTCCGTCTCCGTTACGTCACCACACAGAAATTTAACATCCAATTCATGATGATGTTTTACGTGTTGTGCAACCGTTTTTAAAAATTGCATGAAAAATAAAAGAAACGGCCGATTTTATAATCGAAGACAAGGAATAATTGCACTCACTTTAGATACGGAACAGAAAGAATAAAAAAGGCAAGTATGGATTCATAATATATTTCAAACAAGAAAGAATAAGAGCAAATATGACACTATATTTCCGTAATGGGAAAGCGACGAAGTGAAATATTGTAAATTGAATTAAATAACTACGTTATTGTATACAACCCATGGGCTTGCAGATACGGCATCAGACACTGACATAAGTCGTCGTGACGAATAATGTTGTTGCATCCATTGCTTGTATGTAATAAGGTAACGGTGGCGGAACGGTGACGGAACGTATAGTGTGTATCGTGCTCAAGCAAGTACCATAGGTTTAAAAGAGTAATTCCACATGGGTGCATAATATGATACACCAGGCACCTATTCATGTGGTCGTGTCGGATGGTCTAATTAGACGTTCATTACTTGTAATTTAAGAATATTTCCTATAACGGTGGCGGAACGGTGACGGAACATATAGTGTGAATCGTGATAAAGCAAGCACCATAGGTTTAAAAAAGTAATTCCCAGGCACTGATACATGTGGTCGTGACGGATGGCGTGATTATACGTTCATTGCTTCTAATTTAATAATATTTCATGTAACGGTGACGGAACGTATAGTGTGAATCTTGCTTAAACAAGCACCATAGGTTTAAATGAGTAATTCCACATGACACATCTTAAATGGAACAACCGATCGGCATATGTGGCAACAACGGCAACTGGTCGGTTCTGACCATACGACTTGCATGTGAAAGCAGTATGACGCGTATGGAAAATCGGCGCACGCGGTCAGCTTTGACGAACTGTCCTAATCATACGCTTCATGTGAAAGCGCTCTTACGGCTGGCTCGTGGTGTAAATTATGCGCCCCTATGCGGTTTATGCTCCTGTCTCTAGTCTTTCTTGTTAAGCCTTGATTAAGTGTGATTTTAAATTTCATTTATTAACAATACTGAGGTTAAGAGTCGCGGGTAAACACTTCAACCATGAAGACTACACAAAGAACATGAACTCAAGTGGTAAAATTAATTGGTTTTTTAATTTGAAACAGTAAACTAAATTAAGCACTCCTAGAAGCCTACTTTAGAAATTACCGATACACCCCCTAACGTTTATGTTTAATATCTTCGCGTAAATATGAATAGGTAGTATACCTACGCGTTTCAAAAACGGTTTAAATGATATTAAGGTACTCTTTGCATAAATATATATTAATAAAAATCACAGGAGTTGGATAATATACATAATAATAGTACTTACATTGTTCGCATCCCTAAACGATAAAGAAACTACCCGGGATATTGCTAAAATTTTCGTTAAATTATTTAATTATTATACTCCAATTGCTACATTTGCTAGCCTTACGTACATGTACTTGGGGATTTTATTTTGTTGTTTTTATTATTATGATGGAAGTCAACAATCCTGCTACAAGTATTTTTAATTTGTGTGTAACTATACAAAAAATCCGGAGAACGTTTTTGAATTTTGTTTTTCTTTCTTCGCACAAAAATAATCAAACACGCACTTGTAGTTTATCTTTTATGTTTAGGATTTTTCATATTCCAAATGACATTAGACTTTCATTAATCTTTTATGTGATATTTACATCGTTTATTGGCGCAGTATTGCTTCTGAATGGCAATTCGACTAATTGTAAGATAATTTTATTTCTCAAATTATAATAACTTAAATTGAAAAAATTAAGTAAATGCTTACAAACGCATCAAATTTAAATAAAACAACTTTTTTTGTGATAGTGTTTGTTAATTTGGCGAACAGATATTTTACTTCATGACCTACAAATTTTTAGCATGATTAAACTTGATTGTATAAAAATATATACCATCAATATCAATTAAAATCGCGGTTAATACTTAGGAATACGATAAGTGCCAGATTTGTATGAAGCTGTAAGCATCAGCACATCTTCATTGTAATGAAATTATGATGACTAGCATATTTAGGTATATCGTCTCGTTATGATTTTATATGTAATTATAACGAGAATTCCCTTCTTTATATAGCGTCCAATTTGATATTTACGTAGTCGATTATCTTCCATATATCATTAACAATGGTAAGATACATGGGGAAAAAATTGTAATCTACTACTACTGCACTTTTACGTATTGTGGCCATATTTTTTAGTGACAATTTAGTCGTAGTGGTCGTAGTCGGATATTAGAATGTTAGAAAAGCTCACCAGGAATTTCAGGATGATAAATCCTAGGAATTCTGTAGTACTTATATATAATCACATTCTTGATTGTGTAATTAAGGTATTGCACAATATCGTACGCCAAAATTAAAATTATGCTTTGTATTTATTTAAATTTAGTGATGTAAAAGAAGTGGCTGATATTCGCCATCTAGGAGATCAGATAACTCAAAATGGATGGAGAAGTAGAGATATAAAACAGAGAACAGTGCACTGTCGAGTCGTTTTCAACAAAAAGAAGTCACTTCTGTACTCGCGAACGATTAATTTAGAAATTCGAAAAAGATTGTTAAAGGTGTATGCTTGGAGCACGCCGCTGTACCGGTGCGAAACCTAGACGGTGAGCGCGGTGGAAAAGAAAAGGTTAGAAGCGTTTGAAATGTGGTGTTACAGGCGAATGAAAAGGTATGGAAGTCAATAAAAAATACGGCAAGATAGGTTGGTAGGACACCTTCATAGTTATGAAAGACTAGCCAGAGATATTAGAAGCGGAAACAGGAGTTAAGAGGAGTAAAGGTAGAATTAGATTAAATTACTGTTCAAATGTAGTTAAGGATGTGTGGGATGTTCTAGTTGTAAGGAAATGCGAAGATTAGCTCAGGATAGGAAAGAGTGGAGATGCGTGTCCAACCATCAGTCTTAATACTGACGACCTTATGGTGATGAAAGAATGATGAATAAAATAGGCATAAGAACGACAGATTTGAAACTCACGTCGGATAACAATAAAAACTAGTTAACTTGGCTGTCTCTCAATAAATTCATTTCCTTCTAATAAACACCTAAGAGCTTCGCATCTTACATTATTTTGCTTATTATATAATTTCAGTAATATGCGATTTGTTTGATATCCCTGCGAGCTACTAATATGCAATGGATTTATGCTGGAGTTAGTTCAGTTTTTAATCTCTTAATAGGTTTACATTCTTTGTAACGTTAATCTTTACAACGCTCAACTCTATCGAACTCTATCGTTGACCATACTTTCTTCGGTATCCAACAGTAGAACTCGAAAAAGCACGCTTAGAAATTATGCCTTTCTAAGCCAAAATGATTGTATCTATTCGATTCTTTATATCATAGTCTACTAGTCAACCTTTACGGTCTTTTATTGAATTTCGAGTTACTGGATTCCACTGTTTCAGAAGATATGACCAGGTTTAACATAAACATGTGCACAGTGGTCCAAGAAAATGAAGGATTTTATTTTTCCATTCATTAAATGTTAAATTACAATAATCACTAAAGGATGGTCTGCATTTTACGACTACAAATTCGATGTACGGTTAAATTCCAGTACCGCAAATCGTAGAAGAAGATTATTACCCTGTCGAAATTTAATTGATAGAGAAAGTAGGCACAACGTGTGCTTTACGGTACGGATCATATGAACATGTTTTCGAGCAGTTCGAGGGCGAAAGGCGTTGTCGCCACTGCCGGTGGCTGCACTGACGGAAGCGACGGCGCTTGGCACTACCACGCTCGCGCTTGTAAGGGTAAATAAGTCCCGCACTGTTGCTGATAGTTTGACGTTTGCTGACGATAGGCCATCGCGGCCAAACTTCCGTTCGCCATACACTGGGCCTGTTGCTGCACAGACGATTGACATGCCGACGCAGGCGATTGCTGCGTCCGACTCACGGCGCTCTCGACCGTCGACGCCGTGGACGTCTGGCTGTTGGAACCTCCTCCCGAACATGGTTTTCCATCTTTCACCAAAACCGGAACGGCGACTCTTCGGGGCGAACTTGACGACTGAAACAAAAACAGAAAATGAAGAATCCTTTTTGATCTATTGTCTCCTACGAATAATTATAATAATGAAAATCGCCAAAGGGCCTCTGTCCGCCTGACTGTCTGTGTGTCACAACAAAACTCCTAAACCATTGAACAATTTGCAATGCAATAAACGAATACCTTTTTGGCTACAACTAAAATAATCCCCCTTTAGACTTTGTTAGAGTTTGCACTGTTGTAAAGAACATTTTTGAAAGGATTAAGGGAATGAGATCAACAAAAGGACTCAGGGTTGATGTCAGGGCAGTCGTCTGGCACTGTTTTTTAATAGCAAACAGTAGATTATAACTAAACCATTTAATTTGTTATATAGAATTTGCGCCTACGGAAACACCACTTCCGAATTGTTATTAAGTTTTCTATCCACTGTATCCTCATCATTCGAACGATTCTAACCTTTTCTTTTCCACCACGCCCGCCATCCATGTTTCGCACCCGTACAGCGTCGGGCTCCAAATATACACCTTTAACAATCTTTTTCGAATTTCTAAATTAACTCGTCGCGAGCATAGAAGTGACTTCTTTTTATTAAAGGCGACTCGATCCTGCGCTATTTTTTGCTTCATATCTCTACCAATCCTTCCGTCCTGACTTATCTGACTTCTTAAATACCGAAAATCAGCCACTTCTTCTTAATGCAATAAAAAGACACGCCCGTGTATGTCGCATATTTTAATACTCTCAACGGAATCAAAGCCTATAGAGTCCTTCTCGTTGACCTAGAATTATGAAATTTGGCATGAAGCAAAAAGTGTTACCTATAAGAGAAAAATCCGAAAACTTTAAATTTTACATGTGTTACGTCACAAAAAAAGTTTTTTAATTGTAGTATTGTAATTATACGTTAAGGGGGCTGATTTTGGGTGAAACTTAAAACATACTTGGAAAAAGCGGCGAAAATCATCGAGACTTGATTTTGTAACTGACGAACTACGTGTATACCTACTAGTACCGTCGGTGCGCGAGTCCGACTCATATTTGGCCGGTTTTTTAAAATAATATTGTAACTTACAATTAGTCAATAATTAATTAACAGTGGTAATTTTTATTTATAGGGAGCGTAAGCAAGTGTGTCATCATTAATAGTGTCTAGGTAGTATATCCTTGAATCCTATGTACCCTCGTCAACAGTATCTATCCATCCAAATTTGAGGGAGGGGGTGCAACTATGCAGTACGCAATTATTACTTTTAATATTTAAATGTGATCAAAAATTACAATAAGAGAATTATTCGAATGAAATTCGCACTTTTTATTGAGGGTAAAAATTTAAAATGAATTGGACTTGATACTAAAGCTTTTAAGTATATTACGTTTTCATTTTAAAGACTATAGTTGACGTGGTTTATATTTTAATAAACTGATATATTCTGTGGCATTTGCCTACTTTCTTTTTCGTTTAAGTCAGCAATTGAAATTTCCCGTTGAGGGCTTTAAAGCTGCGTGTGCCTTACTTGTGATTCACGACCGTATTACGATGTATACACTTCCTTTAAGTAGACATGTCCTTATATCATCCTGAAGGATGGCGCGAGTCTCCGTAATGACTAAAGAGGATCTGTCTGTCATGTTTAACAAAATTAATTCGGTTACCTAGTACAGAGACATTGCTCGGTTGTTCGGATGAGGACCTCTCAAGACAATTCATACTTCCGATGAAATATAATTTGTCGTAATGGCAAGATGTCGGTTTTGATAAACCGTGATGTTTAATTAAACTCTTTTTCGTTAATTAATCGAGTGAATGACCCTTTCAGATTTATGTACCTAACTATTTTAAATTCAGAGTGATTATCTTAACATTATATTTTATATGAGTTAAAAAAACTCTGATGTTAGAACAAAAGAAAGAAAGAAGTCACTTCTATGCTCGCGAACGGTTAATTTAGAAATTCGAAAAAGGTTGCTAAGATATATGTTTGGAGCGCGGCGTTGTACGGGTGCGAAACATGGACAGTGGGCGCGGCGGAAAAGAAAAAGTTAGAAGCCTTCGAAATAATGAGCATAACGTGGGTAGAAAGGGTTAGAAATGAAGAGGTATTAGAAAGAATAGGAGAACAGAGTCAATTAGTCAACCTTTACGG